AAGTAGATATAATAAATATTTCCTGTTATTTACCTGTCAGCAGGTGTGTATTATATAACTACAGGTGTGGCGACTATTATCTCTTTATATGCACAGTAGCCAGGTTCTATTGGCTTAGTGGCTATCTCTCAAATTCCTCAAATATTTCTTCTACTACATGTAAACTTTTTTTTACAACTTATGACGTTGACACATTTCAGATACAACCTTGAAATAATATTACATACCGGTACTTGAAATCGGGGGTTTGATGGCTGAATGGTTGGGGTGTGCGTGCTTTATCATAAAGCCTGTCATTGAGTCAACTGGCGTGGTTTCGAATCCACGGTTGTATGTGACAAGGAGTAGGGTCGCCTGTCCAACCTCGTGGGTTTTCTCCGGGTCCTCTGGTTTCATCCCACTGCTAAAGACCCCCACGCGCAAGCAAATTATTGAAATAAAATTAAACCATATGTTAGTCCCGAAATGACCTAGTTTGTGTCGAGTGGACGTTAAATCCCATTTCTCTCTCTCTCTGTACTTGAAATAATATTTAAATCATCAATAGAAATCCCTGTTGATTACCATTTTGGGATTGTGAAACCCTTGTAATAAATCTAGTATTGTGATAGTTGAATGTCTGGTTCAATTCTGTACGATATTTATCAACATACACACCTGTATGATGAATTCAAAATTTTACAGTAGTCAGCATTCACTGAAGACAATATAATTCAACCGTCCAGTCGTTGCTGTTTGTATTTTAGATGAGAGCAGAAAAAAGCTACCCTTAATGAACAAATTTCTCGAGTTTCGCAACAGTTCTACTTTACACTTCAGTTAAATTAACAAATGATGCATATAGGCGCCGTTTATATTTAGCAGCATATTCATCGGAATTTTATATGTCCATGATTTACACATAAGGAGACTAGAGCGATTTTCAATTTTAAGGCAACGGAGAAAAACTTCTCTTTGGTTGACCTTCAGGTGCGCGGCTTACACTAGCGAGCGATCGCACGCCTAAATAAGCAATGACTGACCATCCCCTACTACTTCTATAAGAGTTGCATTAAATCTTTTGATGGGCCTCTCTTTAATGCGATTAAATCAAAAAATGAAATGAAGGGTTTAACGTCCTACTGATCTGCTCCGAACTAGGCTAATGAAGACGGGCATACACCATACATTGTGCTATGAGGGAAATTACAAACTGTGGCATTAACAGTGAATTATGGAAATAATAAATTTTATTGTCAAAAGTTGTAGCAGAAGATTTTATATATAAAGTAATGAAAATTATAAAATGGAATATATCTTTAATGTTGTATTATTTTTGGATCAAATATTTGGATTACGGAATAGTTATAAATAGTTTTCTTACTTCAGCCATGATTTATACAACACATTGTACACGTGTTAGATAAAACAGAGTAAATCAATTTTACATTCAATTTATTTTCAATGATTACATTTATCCCCCAACAAAGTTATGTGACATGTGCTCCTCATATCGAAATTTAATAATACATGTAGAATATTTATAATCATATAATTAGGCCAAAAAGGAAAGGGTCGCCTGTCCAACCTCGTGGGTTTTCTCTGGGTCCTCCGGTTTCCTCCCACTGCTCAAGACCCCTACGCGCAAGCGAATTATTGAAATAAAATTAAACCATATGTTAGTCCTGAAATGACCTTGTTTTTGTCGAGGGGAGGTTAAACCCCATTTTTCTCTCTCTCTCCCCAAAAAAGGAAAATGATATTCTGGTTCTCAATTTAAGAAAATCCTTGATAACTGAGCGTACGTGTTGCGGTACATTTTTGGATTCTTTCAAATTTTACTTCATGTAACCATATGTGAAATGTTTGTGTGAAGTAATTAATGAAACGTTTTATTTTTTGAAACAAAAATCGGTCACAGTGTCCCTTTTTAAGAGAAACAGAATCATTAGAGGTCTATTATGTAGAAGCTAAATCTGTCCTTGCCGGTCTTTTCTCTGGCTTCATATATATAAATTATTATTTAGATATTTATTTACAAGACAAGCCTATACTGTAATCAACTCTGGCTCAGATATTGAAAGGAATAAATCATCTACACCTTTTAATAATTTAACGTTAAAATAGATAATTCAGATTTTGTTTATTGTCGTAGCAATGCTACATGTACTTGAGAATCAAGACTATTTAAGCTATATCATGTCAAAACTTTAAACTGTACATGTAACTTTGCTTAGAATAAAGTAATTTGACTGAAATTTTCAATATATTTTTGAATGACCAGCTCTTTATCTAAATCTTAAATAATTATTCTTTAAACTATTATAGCAAGACTGGCCAGCTCTTTATCTAAATCTTACATAATGTATCTTTAAAGATTTTGTGTTGATAATTTGGTAAATTCAATAAATTATATGAAGAATTTAGAATATTATTTTTCAAAACCAGTCAGTATCTATTTGTCCTTCAAAATTTCTGTGAAAAACATTCTTACTTGAAACTATCACTGATTTTAAAAATTTCTGATCTTTGTAAAACCAGTATCATCCATTTTGTCTCATCAATAAAAAACACACTGTAAATGAATTTAAGAATCTTGGAATTGAATCCGGATATTACGAGCATCTTGAAAGGAGATTGTCCCTCTCTGTGATAAAAAGTTTCCATAAAATCAATAATTTTCTAATTCTTATGCCTACTGATACAAGTATGGTTTGTTTTATGAGAAATTGGCTTGTATTTATTACCATACTTGATGATTGAATACTTGTTTTGTACTTGTACATGAATATTTGTTATATATTGAGAAATTTGATTCCCCGGTTGTACAAGACAAGGAGTAGGGTCGCCTGTCTAACCTTGTGGGTCTTCTCCAGGTCCTCCGGTTTCCTCCCACTGCTAAAGACCCCTATGTGTAGCGAATTATTGAAATAAAATTGAACCGTATGTTAGTCTTGAAATGACATAGCTTGTGTCAAGTGGACATTAAAACCCATTTCTATCTCTCTCTCTGTTTTTATGGAGATTCTCTGTTTTATTCCTACTGCTAAAGTGAATTATTGAAATAAAATTGAGCCATTTGTTAGTCCCAAAATGACCTAATTTGTGTTGAGTGGACTCTCTCTCTCTCTCGTAATGTATCTTGAAAGATTTTAAGTTGATGTTAAACCCCATTTCTCTCTCTATTTATATTGAGACATTAATGTCTGTAAACTAGTTAGGTATTTCATCTTAATAAATAAGATGTTATCACTTTTAACAAGAATTGTACTCCGTCTATATTTAGATCTAAGGACAGGCAGGATACTACATGTAATAATTGCCTACTTAAAGTAAAAACGAGTTGAAATTACTTTCAATATGACAGCTCATTTTATTACTGTCCATACCACAAGAATTAATAAATATAATTTGGTTCATTCTACAACTGTAAATAAGATAAACGACAGTTCTGTATTAAAGCCCGAGACCAATCATCTAATCGTTATTCAAAGGGGGGGGGGGTTGGATGACTAAATGGTTAGCACGCAGGCGCTGTATTATACGGTCTGTCATTGTGTCAACTGGTGGGGTTTCGAATCCCTGGTTGTACGTGACAAGGAGTAGGGTCGCCTGTCCAATCTCGTGGGTTTTCTCCGGGTCCTCCGGTTTCCTCCCACTGCTAAAGACCCCTACGTGCAAGCAAATTATTAAAATAAAAAAAATAAACCATATGTTAGTCCCAAAATGACCTAGTTTGTGTCGAGTAGACGTTAAACCCCATTTCTGTCTCTCTCTCTCTCTCTCTCTCATTCCAAGGTAAAATGTAGGAGTCACGGTGGCTAAGTCAGTAAGGTGTTGGCCGAGAAAATTCATCAGGATTTTCCAGCATGGTTTCCCTTGGAAAGGAAAGAGGACCTGACAAGTACAACTGTCTAGTTGTTTGGATGGGACAAAAAAAAACCCAAGATCCTGTGTACACATTGGTGTGCACATAAAAGATCCATTGGCAATTGGAACTTGATATAAGAATAGGCTGTAGTTCCGATGTCCAGGCAAAATTTCCCTCATAGCACACTGTATGGCATATGCTCATCTTCATTAACCACGTCAGAGCAGAACAGAACGGTTGGACGTTAAATCCCAAGCTAAAATGTATTCAATGAAAAGAAAAACATAATAAAATATATGTATCCTAATATCTTGAAGCCCGTTTTCCATATAAACATTTTCGTTGGTTACATGGAATCGGTCCGGTTACATTTGGATTACAACCAATTTTAGGCCGGTGAAAAGGTCTACAATAACGTAGTGAAAAAGCATACATGGAAAACAGACCTTACTTAGTCAAAATATTTTGTCCAATGCTTGAAGTTAGCACTGGCTTGTTTTGACAATATTCTACAATCGTGTGAAGGGGATACCAAATGTCGACAAATTTTCACCCCATCTTTATGTATACTAACTGGAAATAAATCATTCAAGAAAACTTAAAATAACCGCAAAAAATTGATGAATCAAATTGAATATTCGAAAAGTATTGGGATAAAGACGAATCAAATTTAAGTATGATGTGACTATAAATAAAATTACATTTTATTTTTAGATTATGATATAATTCATTAAAGATAGATTATGGGAGAATGGATAAAGAACTGGCAGTTCTCACTATAATAGTTAAAAACTAGATAATGTAAAGGCAATTTGCTGTAAATTTCGGTCAAATTAATCCACTATGAACCGAGAATTAAGTGATTGAAATTTCGGCGTAGCCTCGATCATCATTACTAAAGTCTATACGATAAAAAACATAGTCTCTATCATCCATTTCAAGATTAAATTATGAATGGAAAGTCGAGGAGCAAATGGGATCATAATCCAGTAAATATCGCAGGCAAACAATGCCATCGGAGTTGATTATGGTCTGGATAAGTTTATTAATGTCTAATTGATAATTTAAATAACATTTCAGTCGTAATGAAAGACCTGCAATAGGCAGATTTAGATCTTGCATAATGTATGTTTAATTAAATATATTTCAGTTATGGTGTTGTATTATGGGAATTATTAACAGGAGAAACTCCATATAAGGGTATAGATACGTTAGGGGTCGCCTATGGTGTTGCTGTCAATAAGTTAAAATTACCTGTACCATCAACGTGTCCAGCTCCTTTTTCTCAACTTATGTCAGGTAAGTCATCTTCTTTCTTGAATAATGGAGGTGGGGGTCATAAAGTCTGTCAATGACACAAATCGAGTGATGTGGTTTCAATTCCCATGTTGTACATGACAAGGAGAAGGGTTGCCTGTCCAACCCTCATGGGTTTCTCCGGGTCCTCCGGTTTCCTCCCACTGCTAAAGACCCCTACGTACAAAAGAAATATGGAGATAAAATTGAACCATATGTTAGTCCCGTTATATAGAAGGACAACTCGTGTTTGTCATGTTTGACGTCACTTCCTGTTTCTTCACGTGCTTGTTACTCAGCTATAGTAGCATGATCCCTGTGTTAAAATTATATTTGGGATGTATTTAACGAGCTCTATCACATATTTTATAATGACTGACACCAATATTGTCCTTTAATATCAAATTTGGAACTCTTAACATTTTGTCAGAAATTTTAAACTGTTTAATAGAAATAATATAAACAATGAACTGACCATTATGGTCAGACATCAGTGCAGTCATCTTGGAATTTTGACGTCATACCAGAAGTTGAAGGGCTAAATCTAGATTTGTTAAGGCCAGCTCAATTTTTGTCAAGGTCATTGAGATGTTTAAAGGTTAGGACACGTGATTGTTGGCGAGATTGGGGGGTTGGATGGCTGAATGGTTAGCGTGAGCGCGCTGTATCATAAAGTCTGTCATTGAGTCGACTGGCGTGGTTTCGAATCCCCGGTTGTACGTGACAAGGAGTAGGGTCGCCTGTCCAACCTCGTGGGTTTTCTCCGGGTCCTCCGGTTTCCCCCCACTGCTATAGACCCTACGCGCAAGCGAATTATTGAAATAAAATTAAAAACCATATGTTAGTCCCGAAATGACCTAGTTTGTGTCGAGTGGACGTTAAACCCCATTTCTCTCTCTCTCTCTCTCTGTTGGCGAGATTGTAAGTTAGGGTTAGGGTAAGCATTGGGACTAGGGCTAGGGTTGGGATTAGCGTTAGCCATGTTTACATCTTGTGACCTATGTAGAAAAAATTGAGCTGGCCTTATCATTTAGCCCTAACCAAGTTGAAGTCAGTCCACCAATGCACAATTGTCCAAAGAACAAGCCTGCAAGTTTAATGTCACTATTTTACAGTCTTACTTGATTTGGTAGAGCCTTGGCTTTGTTAGAATATCATCGTAATTACTATGAACAAGAAGAAATGAAATGAAATGGAGTTTAAAGTCCTACTGTTCTGCGCCGAACTGGGCTAATGAAGATTGGCATATGCCATACAGTGTCCCATGAGGGAAATTTTGCCTGGACAGCGGCACTATATATCGAATTCCAACTGTCAAGGGATCTTTTACGTACACACCAATGTGTACATGGGACCCCTTTTTTCATCCCATCTGAACAACTAGACAGTTGTCCTTGTCAGGCCCTCCATCCTGCATCACTGACAAGGGGAAACCATGCCGGAAAATCGGATGAACTTTCTCTGCCAATGCATGGATTGAACACCCGACCTCCAGGCTAGCGAGGAAGAAGAAGAACCAACTCTAGATTCAGATATTCTTGACTATCAATGTATTTTATTGTTTTATCAGACTGCTGGTCCCAGGAACCACATGAAAGACCAACATTTAGCGAGATATTAGAGACACTGAAAGAAATTGCTAACTCATCATTCATGGCGTATCCACAAGAATCTTTCCACACACTACAAGAGGACTGGAAACTGGAGATAGAGGCTATGTTTGAAGAACTACGAAGCTGTGAAAAGGTTAGTTATTATATTGTCAATAGAATTGGATGAGCTGTGAGGATGATTTAGGTCTGAGAGACACTAGTAGATAAACATGTATTTGAACAATAAAATTTGTTCTGTAAGTTTAAACCTGGACAGGAGGCACCAGTCACAGATTTTGTCTGGCAGAAATAATCGCACAAAGTTTTTATTAGAATACATTTTGTGATAGTTTGTGTCTGACCACCCTTGTATATGTATATATATATATATATATATATACGTGGTGTGGTAATTGATGCCTGACAGAGTCTGTAACAGGGGCCTTTATGTCCAGGCTTGTATAAGTTACAGATGTTTTGGCCTACGGAGATCTCCTAAAATAAGTAAAGCATCTTTTTATGTTTTAGTTTTAAGCCCGCTTTCCATTCGCTTTTTTGAGTATTTCCATGTGTATTAAAAATTGCAGAAACTTTTAGTGAATTTCGCTGTAAATTACGTCAATAAGTGAGGACTTCTCTTAACAGCATGGAGGCCAACATTGGTTTGGTTTAATCGCCTTTTGAGAATTCCAATAACACACACCGTGTCTAAAAAAACTACCATTTTCAAGCTGAACATGCTGCAACGGTAGCAGTTGAAGTTGAAGACCTCGTTCGACATGCGCATGAGAGAAAAAAAAGTGCAAAAGTTCGCTCATTTTGCACGAGGAAGGCTTATTGTACTTATAAGAGGTCCATTTGCATTTTGCATTAGATCGACTTTTTCCTGGTACATGGAAAGCGAAGCAAGATATGTATTTCAGGATTAGAGATATATATTCTCACCTTGTATTTCAGGAGTTGAGATGTCGAGAAGAAGAAATAACAAAAGCTGAATTACAACAGAAAATCCATGAAGCATCGCTACGGAAACGTGAACAAGATTTAACTGAACGAGAATTAGAGGTTTTAGGAAGGGAATTAAGCATTTTGATTTTACAGCAATTGGTGCAGAAACCAACACCGAAAAAACGCAATAAAAAAAGTAAATTGAAGAGTTTGAGGTCACTTGGTGGAACTATGATAAGTGAACCTTCAGGTAGAGTTATTCCCCTTTGTTATGTCTGTTATTAGCCTGCTTGGTTTGAGCCTCAATGTCTAATCATTGAAAGGATTATTGACCTAATTTCTCACTGATAACAGTCCGGTAGCTAAAACACTTGTCTCTCTGAATCCATATAGCTGTTGTCAGCTTGAATCGGTCATGCTTAAGATTTTCCCATGACCTTCATAATTGCACGGCCCAGTTCACCCAATAAACAGTGATTTTTATCGTTCCTAGGTTTTATAAACAATATAACAGTAACCAGTGATAAAATAGCATGTATTATTACAGTTACCAATGATAAAATACCACGTATTATTACAGTTACCAATGATAAAATAGCATGTATTATTACAGTTACCAATGATAAAATACCACGTATTATTACAGTTACCAATGATAAAATAGCATGCATTATTGTTGTTTCCAGGTTTTACGCACAATATAACAGTTACTAGTGATAAAATAACGAGTCCTGAAAGACAGAGTCCTGATAGTCCACCAGTCACTTCTACTTATCAACAACTTAGGCTCAGAGCTATAGCTTGTAAGTTTATTTTCGTTAGATCATAAGGTCTGTCATTGAGTCGTGTGGTTTCAGTCGACAGCTTGTACATGACAAAGGGTAGGGTCACCAGTCCAACCTCCCACTGGTAAAGACTCCTACGCGCAAGCGAATTATTGAAATTATTGATCATAAAGTCTGTCATTGAGTCGTGTGGTTTCAGTCGCCAGCTTGTACATGACAAAGGGTAGGGTCACCAGTCCAACCTCCCACTGGTAAAGACTCCTACGCGCAAGCGAATTATTGAAATAAAATTGAACCATATGTTATTCCTGATAATGACCTAGTTTGTGTCGAGTGGACATTAAAACCTATTTCTCTCTCTCTCTTAAAGAAATACGTGAGATTGCTGGTCAACTGCCCAAACCCTTTTTATGGCCTAAACATAATAAACGGGACAAAATGTATGTGACAAAGATTGGGGTCACCTGTCTAATTTCGTGGGTTCTCTTCAGGTCCTCCGATTTCTTCCCACAGCTAAAGACCCCTACGTTCAAGCAAAGTATTGAAATAAAATTCAACCACATGTTAGTCCCGAAATGATCTGACAGTTGGAAGAGAGTTTAACATGATTAAATTCTATTTATTTAAGATCCGTCATCAGGAAAACAGAAAAAGGGAAAAACATGGGGACCAAGTTCTGTTCAAACAGATCGACATCAACGTTCCTCTATCATAATGGCTGACGGCAGATGGTCGAAGAGTGCACCAAACTTAGAAAAAACACTACGTAATATGGGGGGACATTCCAACACTTTGTGTAAGTTCTAATTATTAATAAAATATAGTAACTATAGTAACCAGTTCTCAAGCTGGGATCCATTTCTTTCTTTTTTTTTTTTTTTTTGCTAGATTTCATTTTAATTTCATATAATTTTTCTATTTTTTTTTTCGTCAATAAAATAAAAATATCTTTCGGTAAACTTTTTAGTAATTTTTATCACATTTTTAATTACAAAATGATAATGCAATCAAGTTTAAACTTCAAAAACTTTTTTGGAAAAAAATATCGCCACGGAAAGTAAAGAATCGCCACAAGGAAAAGGTTATCGCCGCATTTAAAATTCAATCGCCAAAATTGTGTATTTATGGCAATTAACTGAAATGGTCGATCAACAGTGTAAGCATTGATAGCAGCAGGAATCATAGCAGCTACTATTTAATATTACTTGGGGTGGTTGGAACTATGGCTGGTATATTGTCACCTTCTGTTAAGAGGGAAGATTGGGTGGAAAAACTGCTGCTCAGGTAAAATTCTCCAGTGGACACGTAACCATAGAAATATGTTAGTTTCAAAATAACTTAAATATTGTGTTAGACATTAAAGCCCATTCTATTCTATTCCATTAAACATACATTATGTAAGATTTATACAAAGAGCTGATTGTTCTTACTATAATAGTTCAAAAACATAATTTAAAATGAATATATTGAAATTTTCGTTCAAATTACTTTATTTTGAGCCAAGTTAACACTGTTTGTAGTTTTGACATAATGTGTGCATTGATTGTTTATTATCGTAACCATGGTACTGGTATGTTCAAGTCTTAGCCTCGCTTCTCCATTTTTAAATTAAATCATTAAATGGCCAAACTGATCTAATCTAGAGAGTTGATTATGGTCTTTTCATGTTAATAAATGTCTAATTAATTATTTAGCTCTTGCCTAATGTATGTTTAAAGCGATAATTTCATATTTTCTAAGAAAGTCAAAACATAATTATTTCTATATCTTTTGCTCAATAGGTTGTCAACTCACTATTATACGATCATAGGTATTATTCTCCCACTTAAAAATCCTTTGACCCCGGAAATTATAACACAATTACCTCCCTTGTTTTTCTATTCCCCCCAATGGAATAGCTATCTTCAAACGTTTGAATTTAAAGTTGAAAATGATATTTTTGCCAATTTCTCAACTGGCAATAGTGAATTATAGGATTAATAGGATTATTCTTTAACAAGGTAGGACTGTTTATAGATACCATCTATTTTAAGGCTTTATTTTAATAAATTTGAAAAATATAACTTAAAAATATGAAATTGCAACTTTAACTATATCTGATTTTGTTGTAGATTCTGAAGAATCGGCATGGCCGGAGTTTATTGATGACCAAAAGAACATTCCAAGCACATTGGTTAACGGAAATCACGATGCCAAACGGCCATCTTCCCAAAAGAAACACATGAGTGTGTGGTGTAAGATGGGAATGATGTTAGCGTCCGTTGGTAGTGGCTTTGATATACGTGTTGCAAACTCTACAGCAATTCATCCCCAGTTACACGGAACAGATGACAGCATGAAGAAACGTGATTCTTTTATTGGACAACGTCGCGATGCTTATTTAGGTGCTGTTCGTGATAACCTGATCGAAGGGGAAGGGGAATTTAGAACATCTAATTATACCAACCCTTCCGCGTTTCGACATACATATCATGGTACCAACAGTCGTTCTCGAGCCAAGTTATCTATGGATGATGATTCGCCACCGGGTGCACAGGATCTATCCAATGAGATCCCAGATTACACTTTTCAACCTTTTATTCTAGAGCGCATTAAAAATACCCGAATATGTGATACAAACGGCGGAAGTATGATCTCACCTGTTCCCTCTTCGGATATGATCACGTTTCATCGTCAGCACTCAGGGAGTAACGACGACCAGACGCGTGATACATTGAGATCTTCCAATAGAAAAAGACACTCCGTGACATTTGATGATAATTTTAATCCAGACATGAATAACTTGACGCCTGCCACCTCAACCCCTATCGGTACTTACAATCCAAAACCTACTCCATCCTGTGACGCTTCACCTTCGTCTTCCACGAACCCTAAAACATCTTATAATGATGTTTATCCTACAAATAATAGCCCCCTATCCATCCTGCCTAGACGCAATCCGGTTGGAGAGTCACCACTTCAAAGACCGACAACTTTAGCCATAGGCACGACATCCAGAACCAAAGTTAAGTTCGACACGAGTAACCAAGGAGATACGAGGGACTCTCCTAGAAACTATTTCACGCCATCGGAAATGGAAAATGCGACTTTCTTTTCCGCACGGTCACGTCTCAGCCCGGGCAACACTCCACCACACGTCTCTCATGCCAAAACGTTACTTGACATAGACGTGGAAGGGCAGAGTAGAGACAGCACGCAGCCCTTGGTGTTACATACTCCTAAAAATCGCTTCCGTGTACACGAACTGGAGCAGGAGTTTTTGTTCTGATGTTTAATCAGTGTTAGGTTCATTAACTAAGATACGTGTTTTTTTTTTATATCATTGAAGAAATATACTAAATTATAGGTAACTCTACAAGTTCAACGTATGTTTTTACATACAAATGTTCGTTAACCAAAGTGCATTATATTATATCAATATTATTATTGTCATTACAAACAAATAGTGTATCAGAGACGTAAGGGAGACAATTCACAATTAAATGGCCATTTTTCAGTTTCAAATATTTAAGGATACGGCAACAACTTCAGATACGGCATCAGGTTATGAAGATAGTTCATCTTTTCTGACAACTGTCAACAGATATTGTGCTTTTGTGAAAATGTTTCCTGCTAAGATTTTTTTGGACAGTGATGAAGTAACGTTCTCGTAATCAGGACCTTGTTGTACAAAACATGTGTTACCCATATATACATATAAATAAGTTGTTTCAATATTTATATGACGTGGTGTAACACGTTTTTTGTCTTTAAATAAAGCATCTGTCTTAAGGTGGGATAATTTCCTCCATTAATCAATTCAACCATCCCTCTACAGTTGGTATATTAATTGTACGGGCTTTATTCATGAATATTTTAAGAATTCAACATTTTCATTGGCTGGAAATTAAAATCCTAGTAAAATTGTTACCCAATGAAATGGCAACGTTGTTAATTAAAAGATTTCATGAATATGGCCCCTGTCAGTAGATCAGCCATGTATTTATTAGAAACATCATCACAAGCCAGGATTCATGTTTCAGTCGTATTTAAGGAATTTTCCTTTCGATCAATTGGAATGCTACAATATTTGGTTTTTCAAACAAAAACAAATTAAAACTTACATTTTGTATTGGAATAAAAATTCAGTCGATTTTGAAATATTCAGGTAATTTCTACAAAATTTCCCACCAAAGAGTAAAGAAGAATAAATGAAAAGACTGACGGACATTTTGAATTGAATGCCAAGTACTCGATCCTGATGTTGGCCTAGAAAATTGTCGCAAGATTTGCAGGAGTAGTAAAAAAAACTCTTAACAGTTGGAATTCAATTGCCATCCGGGCCAAATTTCACTCATGGTGTATACCCGTCTTCATTAGCCCAGTTGGTGCAGAATGGTAGGACTGAGGGTCTGAAAAGGATAGCAATCTAGTCATTCAGATGGGACAAAAAAACCAAGGTCCTGTGTATACATTGGCATGCACGTAAAAGATCCGTTTCAGTTGGAATTCGATATAAGAGTAGGCCGAGTTGAATCAGAAAGGTATGACGTCAACAACATTTGATTTATACTGAAACCATGGCTTGTGAAGATGGTCTATTGAGTAGAGGATAGCTGTGGTATAAATATGTTGATATATATATAATTACTTATATCTAATATGTAATACACGTCAAATATTAACAGATAATACTACTTGTTATCAACATCATCATTTAATCTTGTGTATTTACCACATTCATTTAATATCAAATCTTTCTTTAAAATTTGTAAAAATCATTTAAAATCACCCAAAATCATCTAATTTAAAGCTGACTGATTAATTTTAATAATGAGTGTCCAATTTACAAGTATTTAATTTCATGATCACTGTTCTAAAATTAATCATTATACAGCATTAATCAATTGGGTTGTTTATATTTTAACAGTGATCAAGAAATTAAACACTTGTAGATTGGACATTTATAATGAAAATTAAAAGGTCAGCTTTAAACTGGACACAAGTACGAATTAGATGATTTATGGTGATTTTAAATGATTTTTACAAATTTTTAAATATAGATTTGATATTAAATGAATGTGAAAGAAATCAGTGCTAGATACACAAGATTAAATGATACCTGGGTTACAGTCAATGAAGTCTAAATTTTAGTTCTGTTTAATTTGGGATATATTAAAGTTGATATAACTTTAAATGTCTGCTAGGTGACAAAACTGTTGACACTATAGTGTTTGTTATCATTAAACCATGAACTTTAACCCTTTCACACCTGGGACCCTTTAACCCTTTCACACCTGGGACCCTACACAAAGTTCTCTATATCGAGCAGTAGTTTTGGGCAGTTTGGAAAATAAACTACAAAATATCACATTTTCTCTCAATTATTCAGGGAATATGGCCGGGGTAGTCTGTTTTTACATGTAACAAATTTTAAATGATTAAAAAGACTAGTAGAATTAGTCACATGCACAGTGTATAGATGTTTATATAATAGTATTCTCCTTGTTCCAGTCCAGATAAAATAACGTCTATTTTCAAGCTGAATGGAGAGGTCCGGCTGGGTGTGTCAGAATTTACGACCTCTCCATTTGGTCTGAAAATAAACACTCATGAGTTATACGTCTTCAACTTACTGTCAGATCGCTAATAGAGAGCCCTGAAACAACACTTCATAAAAGGCCTAAGGCATGCATGTTTCTCGAATAATTACACATCAATTGACGAACTTCAATTTTTAATGACTTCACAATTTGAATATTTGATTTCACATTGGATGAAAAGGACTAGGGAACAGGTTATAGCCTATATCGCCCCACTCCTGACGAGGGAACAGGTTATAGCCTATATCGCCCCACTCCTGACGAGGGAACAGGTTATAGCCTACATCACCCCACTCTTGATGAGAGAACGGGTTATAGCCTATATCACCCCACTCCTGATGTGTAATGTATATAAATTTGTAACTCATGTAACTTGTGTAACTTCTTTATGCATATATATATATATATATATCTAGATCAGTAACTTGATATAATCTACACCAAAAAAAAATGCATTTATTTAAGTCTGAGAAGGGGGATGGGGAAGGGTGGGGATTTTGTGAATAAGTTGAAAGTAGTATTCTATTTAGATTATTTATTTATAATTAAATTATTATCTTTAATTACTGAGTTTATCGACATCAACTCGGATTCTCTCCAATATAGATCAGGTCTTTCGTTAATCATACCCAATCTAGTTAAAACACAGATCCTATTTCATTTCGTTTTTTATAGTTCAAAACTTCGTCTTACTTGTCTTTACTACACTAGGATCTGAAAGAGTTGTTATATAACAGACGTTCTGGATGGCGTGAGGGATTAGCCAATGAAATGGTCTGTTACGATACATTGAACGGTGGGTAAACCACTAGAAACGTCAACGCTGATGATTAATCAATGTCTGACGTTATAGGATCAAAAGCCGTTCGTACGAGCTCTGATGCGACCTTTTACTACAACCGGTGAGATCTTCATGTAGTGTAGACCATTGAAAGTATAAAAAACAAAACGGAACGGAATATAGATCTGTACTTTAATCAGACAGTGTATATCTACATGACCGTCACTGTCAGAACCTTGGGGCCTATTTCACGAAATTTTAGTAATTTGATTGGATAATATTAGATTGATTTTAGCGCTTAGCCAATCAAAATTGATGTATCAAGTAATATTTATACGCAGTAATTCGCCTTGATAATTTAGGGGGGGTTTATTGACCATTCAATCACACTATTGACCAATCAGAATCGAGGAAATTCTAATTTGTGCTACTATACACAGTGCCTGACTCGAAATTTTTACATAACTTAAATTATAGATACACTATTATGCATACTGTGTATTTCTTTAAAATAGACCACCATCTTCAACCCAACGTTAATCCTGTCTAGAATATCTTGTATAAATAACGTACGATTGGTAAAGTTCCCATACTAATATTTAACGTCGCATCTGTTAAAACTCTAATCATTACCCTAGATTATGTCACTCAAAAAATGTTAATTGTCTTCTGTCTTTCTTAGGGGGGATGGCCACGTGATTTCGATTTCCTGGTTGTACGTGACAAGGAGTAGGGTCGCCTGTCCAACCTCATGGATTTTTTCTTGGTCCTCCAGTTTCCTCCCACTGCTAAAGACCCCTATGCGCAAATGAATTATTAAAATAAAATTGAACCATATGTTAGTGCCAAAATGACCTAGTTTGTGTCGAATGGACACCGATCCCCATTTCTCTCTCTGTGTTTCTTGTACCTAGAACTAGGCCCCAAGAATTACATATCTTGATCTTCTTCTTGGGGATGCTTTTTTCTTGGATAATTGTACATCAATTGACGAATGTCACAATTTCAAAATGGCTGCGATGACGTTGTGCTTGGTTCTTGGTCCATATTTTCTTCTCATACTTATTAAAATACATATCATGCTTGACGGCCTCAGATCTTTAATAACGTCTTTCTTCGTGACTTCTGACTCTCTCTCTCTGTAATATCTGTACCTTCAACCTTGTAGCATCAACTCCAGGATTCAAAATCCAAACTATCACCCCAAATAATCAGTTGTTGTTGTTGAAACCTTGCATACTTATTGATTAATGTGTTGGAGAAAAAGATTTCAGTTTATAACCCACCCAAATAATAGTTAATATATTTGTTAAGGCCAGCCCAATTTTTGTCAAGGTTGCCAAAATGTAAACAAGGTTAGGGTACGAGATTGCTCTCGAGATTGTATGTTATGGTTAGGGTAAGCATTGGGGCTTGGTCCAGGGTTAGGGTTGGGATTAGCTCTAGCCCTGTTTACATCTCGTGACCAAAGATGAAAACTTGAGCTAGCCTCATCATTTAGAACTAACCAAGTTAATATTTAGAAATCAATTTTGGTAATACAAAAAACCACAGGTAGTACGTTGTTACAAGAAGATGAAAATGAAATGGTCGAAATTATTTCATTTCTTGCCAGCCATTTGGATTTTGTTTAATTTTTGGTTTTCCATTCTGTTATGTTTTGCTTAATTTTATTATGTTACAGCATTTTGTTCAGTTTGGCTAACTTTTCGTTGTGAGCTGTTTATTTATTAACACCTTTCGATACAGTGATAATAATTGTTGGGTTGGATTCTTACCCTACACAGGGACTGGTTTACATTTTAAAACAGGCCACACTAAGTCGAATCTTTGTTTTTCAGGACACCTACTAATAATTATTCTTTCTATTTCGACTGGAAATAATGATTTAAAAACAAAAAGCACTTCTCAAAAGCTTTTATTTACAAATTTTTTTTAAGTTTTGAAATTTTAAATAAAATGTCTTTAACAAAATTTGCGTAGCTATTTAGAAAATTTATCAATAAATGGCCTTACCGATGTAATATATGATAGGTGTAGATATAAGTGTTCAATCCAGCAATTTTACCAAACATTTCCTACGCTATGGCTTGGTGAGGAACAATTAATAATCTCTATATTTTACTGAATAAGCATTATTTACAGCAGGAGTGGCCAATCTATGTTTAGGAAATATTTCTATTTTTGTGTGGATTATCTCCCCTACCTTATAAGTTTGTTTTCCTTTGAGTAAAGCTCATATAACTACAGGACCGTGTAATTGACGGTTGTGGTCATGTGCCAATGGTCATGTGTGCGTTGGTTCTCTCCAGCACCATTTCAAGTGGCACTTTCACCACAGTATGATAATGATCAATACAAAAACAAAGTTACATGTGACTGTCTTTAATTGTCGGTAATTTTCGCCCTTCTGTTAGTGGTAGCAGAGTTTTTAAGATGCCCAATGTTTTAGAGGATAAATAGTTGCTAATTTAATCTTTCTATTTTAGAAGTCTTACGGACAATATTTGGCATACAGAATGTAGAAAGTTTTGCCACCCCTTCATACAGAATCTTTTCTTATTTACCTGAAGGCCTACACTTACTACAACGTGCTGACATGGCGCTTGTTTACCTGTAGGCTTACACTTATTACAACGTGCTGACATGGCGCTTGTTTACCTGTAGGCTTACACTTATTACAACGTGCAGACATGGCGCTTGTTTACCTGTAGGCTTACACTTATTACAACGTGCAGACATGGCGCTTGTTTACCTGTAGGCTTACACTTATTACAACGTGCTGACATGGCGCTTATTAAAAAGATAAATATGCTTATTCAGTGAAATATTAGATCTTGTATTTTACTTAGCTGTTGTGAAGCATTGTTCCCGTAAAATCCTTCGTTAGCGAACAAATTATTATGGTTTGAGGTTGAGACGTTGAATAATAGGCGTGTTGTGTCTTGTTTCTGGGGTGGGGTAGCAGAAGGGTTTAATGTGTGCATGTTTCGATTCACCGCTAGTACATGACAAGGATTAGGGCTATCTCCGGGTCCTCCGGGTCCGCAGGTTTCCTCCCAAATTAAGCCAATTTTCACCAACTCCAATTAAATTAATGTGACTATATTTCTGTCTTTGTAAATGACCCATGTAATATATTCAATATATTACGAGAGAATGAGAGTTGAAACTAATGTAAGAAACAAGTAAACGTAGAAAACTAACAAAACATTTTTAAACAAGTTAATTGCCACAATTTTTACCACATACATCAAGCTAAATGTAATTGTTTTTAATGCTCAGTATTTTTAGTTTATTTTCATCT